TTCATCTATTCCGAATTCCAACTTTACAAATACTGATGCCGAATCCAACAGTGGACAGCGATCACTAGGTGTAACTCCTTTTCATTATTACTGTGACACATTTTGGGACGAACAACCACTACACGATGATGAAAATACGACTAATTGCCAATCTTGGATTTGTCCAGAAGAATTTTTTCGATGCAACACTAGTCAGTGTATTCCAATCGATTGGGTATGTGATGGAGAATGGGATTGTTCGGATGCAAGTGATGAATTCGGTCTACCCGAGCAATGGATCAATCACAATGAACATCTATCCAACCAGTTGAATGATCGAAAAAAATTATGTAAAGCGAACTATGCAGCATTACCATTTCGTGATTTCTGTAACTTTAGTCGCGAATATCCTTGTTATCGATCAACAGTTTCCCATCCCTTAGACGTCAACAAAAGTCGGCCGTGCATCAATCATGTACAAATTGGCGATGGCACCGAAGATTGTTATGGAGGTATTGATGAAAAGAATACTTTCAAAGATTGCAACGGAAATATGCTGGGATATACACTAAAATGTGGAAACAAATCTACAGGTTCTTTACGAAAATGTGACAAAGATATAGCATGCTCAACATCTGTACTCTGCTCCTATAAAAGTAAGAATTCGTCTTGGTGTGCTGGACTACAAGATGTTGTTTGTCTGGATGGAACATGTGTAGAAAATGCTCGATGCGATGGAATGTATCAGTGTCCACATGGAGAAGATGAGCACTGGTGCCCATCGGAAAAAAGATCCGAAGCCAGTATAGGTTATCGATATCTAAAGCACAAAAACAGAAGTATCCAGTATGCTCTACCTGATATACGCCCTTTTCCCAAGGTAAATGTTCCACCTCTTGAAAAGAAAAACAACAAATCACCTTTTGAATGGTCATCGTCACAATCATCACTAGTGAATTATTTCGTAAGAGAACAGAACAATTCTAAAAATTTATTTTCTAAAAGCATAGATCCGGGAATTGAAATACAGTTATCATATATATGTAATCGAGGTTTTCCACTTTGGAGTCCTGATACAATGTCTTATCGATGCCTGTGCCCACCAACTTTCTATGGACTTCAGTGCCAATTTTTCTCTGATCGCATCTCAGTCATCACCCATTTGGATTTGCCTACTTTTCCAGTCAATAGTTCAGCTCGTTTAATAACAGTTGTAGCTAGTTTCCATTTCAGAAACGTCGTTATGGACCATCATATCTTTCACGTTAATCCTTTGTTGGAAACTAACAAACCTATCAAACATAGATTCTATTTACTCTATTCTCGATCCGATGCTTACTTAAATCATAAAAAATCGCGATATTTCAATCGAACCGACATCCTTCATGATCATCCATATGAAGTTTACTTTGATATCTTCGTACTAACTGAGAATGCAACGGAACAGATTGGTTCTTTCTATCATCAAATCTACTTTGATTTTCTTCCAGCTTTTCGTCTAGCTACTGTCTTAAAATTTCCATCATGGATCAGTAATTCTACATTTAATCCCTGCATTCCCAATCCATGTAACGCAAATGCTTATTGTAATCCAATTCTGAACAAAATGCGATATTATATATGCTCATGCAAATCAGGCTATAGTGGTTCGAATTGTGAGGAATATCATACCGAGTGTTTGATTTATTGCAGCTCTGATTCCATTTGTCGAGCAAACTATCGTGGTTTGATTGCTAATACTCAGCATCCTCTTTGCATTTGTCCTTTTGATCATTTTGGCCCTCGATGTCATCTCCGAAATGACGCTTGTATATCAAATCCATGTGGATTGAATGCAACATGTTATCCATCATATGATCCTAGTGGAGAAAATAATGTCATTTGTGTGTGTCCTGAACGGTTTTATGGTGATCGATGTCAGAATGAAAAGTTAATGATTCACATTCAAGTAAATATGACAGCATTGATAACAGTGGGCGTTACCCAATTCTACGATCATTTTAAACTATTTAACACACTTTTATTATCCCATCAAGAAGTGACACACGGTTTGCCAAAAATAATTCGCTATGATAATGACCGAGAAGAATTTCCTCTTATGGCTCTATTAAAGATTTACCAAGAATTGTCGAATCCAAGATATTTTATTGTTTACGCTCAATGGCTTACGGGACCTATTAATATAACTTCAATACCCGCAGAATGTCCACATGTTTTAGACATATTTTCTCAAGGTAATATATTTCTCCAGTAAGTTTGTGTAAAGACCTTCATACTTTGTTTTTGCAGATATAACAATTAGTGACCATAGCATTTTCTCATATCACAAAATCTGTCGGAATGATGCCAATCGTATCTGTTTTTATGACTCGAATTATTTTTGTCTATGTGGAAAGAAGAGAGCAGAATGCTTTGCGTACGATTCGAAAATTGACCATTGTGATAATTGCTTGTCTGGTGGTCGATGTATTCGAGGCGATCTGAAAAAAGTCAATGACTTTATATGTATTTGTCGTTCTTGCACTCAAGGTACTCGCTGTGAATTCAGCCTACAAGCATTTGGCTTTACTCTTGACTCTTTATTAGTATATCAGATGACAGCCATTCATATTACTTATATAAGTGTGGCTTCGATTCTATTTTGTATTGGTCTTTTCAACAATTATTGCTCGTTCATAACTTTTAAACGCAGTCAACCACGAAAATCTGGTGTTGGAAACTATCTACTATTTGTTACTATCCTTAATCAATGTAGTCTGCTTGTATTTTTATTGAAATTTATTTCTATTTTTCTCGGATCAAAGGGATTAGCAAGTGATATATCATGTAAAACGATCACCTATCTTCTTTCCGTCTTTACTCGATCAACATATTGGTTAACAAGTTGGATTGCAGTGAATCGTCTTCTGACAATTATATATCCAGTTTCGACTTCTATAAAAAATACACGCTTAGCAATTTACTTTAGTATAAGCACATTGATTATTCTTCTCGGCATGCATCTACATGAGCTTTTCTATTATCAAACACTTCGCGATTTAGATTCTTCTACTGTTCGTTGTGTCAATAATTTTAATCATCACACAGTAGAGATTTATAATCGAATAAATACTCTCATTCATTACCTACTACCATTTTGTATTCAAATCATTGCCATTACTCTTCTGATCGTTCTTGCTGCTCGTAGTCGCGCAAGAACAGTAAGAGATCGACAAACATTCCGGCAGGTACTGAAAAATCAAATTTCTAGTCAAAAAGAACTCTATGTAACACCATTCACTATTATTCTTTCTGCTCTCCCACAAGCCATTCTCTCATTCAGTTTCGCTTGTACTCAATTGAACAATTGGAAGCAGCATACACTTATCGTTTGTGTTCTTCTCTCTTACGTTCCACAAATACTTGGTTTTATTCTGTTTGTCCTTCCTTCAAGTGCATATAAGAAGGAATTTGAAGCAACTGGAATCGGACAGAAGACTATTAAATGGATGTTCAGAACGAACGTAAGAAAAACAAATGCTTAAAAATTCGAAGCTATTCAATGTATTGAATCAACTATATTACTTTATTTCATTTTTCTATATTCATTAATTGTATTTGTCTAAATTGAAATTGTGTGATTTTGTTTTTGTATCATTGAGCTTAACATATTTCTTCAATATCATTTAATTGCACCATCATGCACTATTACCTCTCGAGGTGAGAATAAGGGTGTGAGTGCTGGATGAATACAGTATCCATACCCACACCCTCAAGATATAATTTATTAAAAACAATTTTCCAATCGAGTATAACGATATGAAAACGGTTAAGATTATCAATATCGATGATATATTATTTCTGTTTGGAGTTACATGTGATTGTTCTTTATAAATTTAGATTAATAAATAAAATAATAAGAACTAATGGTGAATGAAAAAAAAATAGTATAGTTGTTCTTAAATGTCAGGATCAACTGGTTCTCGTTCGACAGCAAATTTATTTGGTACTTTAAAAATACCACTTTTAACGATAACAATATCTGATAGTGGATGATCTAATGCATCCGTTTTCAAATTTTCAATTTTGTGTACGATAGACATACCTAATTTAGTTTAGAATAGAAACTAATAATGAATGAAAACAAGAAAAAGATTGAATTACCTTTAAGAACTTTTCCAAAAACAACATACTCATCATCAAGAAATTTAGTTTTCACAGTTGTGATAAAAAACTGACTCGTATTAGAATCTTTACCTGGAAAAATAAAGTTTATATTACATAGTTAGTATATTATACGTTATTGTTACCGGAATTAGCCATTGAAACCCATCCAGCACCATAATGTTTTAATTTGAAATTTTCATCAGGAAATTTACCGACATAAATACTGAATTATTATTGAAAACATTAATTATTTTTGAGATTATAAATTCTTAATATTACCTTAAACCACCAGTACCATCTCCATTCTCGAAATCACCACCTTGAATCATAAAATTCTTAATAACACGATGAATTATTGAACCATTATATCCAAAACCTAAAGTACCGGCCGCTAATTGTGCAAAATTTTTTGTTGTTTTTGGTACAATATCACCGAATAAACCAATAACAATACGACCTTCACTTTTACCATCAATTTCAATATCAAAATAAACTTTTTTTGTTACATAAATCTATACAAAATCAAAATAATAAAACAACAAATTAAATGAAAACTTACTTTATCGTCATCTTCACATGCTGTTCTTTCAAGATAAACAATAAATACAAAATTAAGAAAGATCAATTCTTTTAAAGTAACCATTTATGTAATAATAATGAAAAGAAATAGTCTACAATATTGATTGATTATTTTTTTTGTTTTCAATAATATGATATAAGACGGTGTGGGTGTGGGTATCGGTGAGTGTGTATCAAGGATTTAAACCTACATCCTCTCACATCCGCACCCGCAAGAAAACAACGTATACTATTATATACATAGAAACATATATGAAAGGTAGGAGAAGAAAATAAATTATGAAAATTTCATGGAAATTTAAAATGTTTAACGCGAAAAATAATGTATAATATTGTGTATATCGAAAATATATATGAAGAGTAGAAGAGAAAAATAAATTATAGAAATTTTATGGAAATTTCAAATATTAGAGCAGAAAATAATGTATAATATTATACACATCGAACATATATAAAAGGCAGAAAAAAAATAAATTACAGAAATTTCGAGGAAACTTCTGTGTTTTCTTCCTGCTCCCTACCATATGACTATATCATATGTGTATGAAGTTATCTAGAAGTTTCTGAGTTTTTTTTCCGTAAGTGCACGTCCTTTTAGTATTATTTATATTAGTTGTGGTTGTTGGAGAAGTGGAAATTTTAGAATTTGCTTTGAGTAGAAATCTAAACATACCTTTATTTAAGATACAGTATTCTTATTTTCTTACATTCATAATGCCAATCACAAATCTCGCGTTTGGCTATTCTAAAGATCCATGGACAGTTTATTTTGCTGGACAAAAAATACAAAGTGCATCAGCAACATCATTTGAAGTATTAAATGATGGTTATGCAAAAGATCCATGGAATGTTTATTATATGGGTAAAAAAATAGAAGGTGCTTCAGCAAGTTCATTTCAATCATTAGGCAAAGGCTTGGCAAAAGATGCATTTAATCGTTATCATCTTGGACAAAAATATAGTGGTTTAACTCCACCCACGCATCACTTTCATTAGCTTTTTCAACAACAAAAAATCAATTAATAAAAACACCTTTTTATATAAGTTCGAAAGATATATATATTACATTTTTTTTTTATAAAAAAATCTATTATTAAGCTTAATATACTTCTTATCGACACGTATTACTATTTAAAATTATTTATAAAACACAAATGATGAGTTCTAATGTTAAGTAATGTTTATCAAAACACGTACATACCTTCATAAGCTATGAAAACGGGTGTGGGTTAGGAAAAGATAGACACCCTCCAGCACACCCGCATCCACACTAACATCCACGCCCACACCCATGACCCAAAGACACGCTTTATTCCAATAGATTATTTGAAATCATATATTGTATTAGAAGAATTTTTTTAAAATCTGGATATAGAATTAAATATGTCAAGAGAAGCAAGCAGAGTTGAGCAGTCATGAAGCATGAAATTAGGCAATAAATAAAAGAAAAAAAAGAAAATGTATTGTTCATTCGTTCTTATGGTGTATATAACTCAGTGGTTTCCAAAACATCGGTACCATTTAATCCACCAGCAATTAACACTTGTCCATTTGCTAATACGGATGCTGTATGGTCATTTCGAACATATTTCATAGATGCAGCGACTGTCCATACTCCTGTTGATGGATCATACAACTCTGCACTATTGATTCTTATCCCATTAACATATCCGCCACTAACTAATACTTTTCCATTTGTTAATACAGATGCTGTGTGACTTGATCGAACATAATTCATATTTCCCGTAAGTGTCCATATTCCTGTCGATGGATCG